AGAACGAGAGCTCCCGTTGTCCACCAGCCCCCCAGCACACTTTGCATTTCATTGCACTGTGCAGAATTCTGCTCTCAGTCACCTGGATGAAAATCCAAAGCCAACCTCACTGTTCTCAATGGAACAACTCCAGCTTCACGCTATCACAAATGAGGGAAGCATCTGCCCCGAATGTCCCACTAGGCCACTTTGCTCCAGGTGAACAGGAATCTGCTCTCAAGAGGAACATCAGCATTTAACAGAGAACAGTGCCGTAAATTTTGTGCCTGTGGCAAGAATATAAAATTGCGCCCCCTCCAGTGTATATATTCATAGTAGTTGTTTTATAGAAAAGGGAAAATACATAATAATACTAATAATTAATAATTAAATATTAATATTATTAATAATAATACAAGGTTTATTTATTCTAGTTACGAGAGCTGCATAAACAATCAATAATACACATACACATATAATTATAAAATATCAACATGTCAGGTACAATTAGGTATTTGTTTATAATTGTAATTTGCACACTTTTAATGAGGCAAACTCATCAATAATTGTGTTGAAATTAATATTATTTGCTACCTCTTGTCCTATTGATAAGTTGGACATATTCGATCATCTCTTCTGACCCATGGATGCTTGAAGATAGTTCTTAATTCGTTTTAGTTTCCTAAACCTTCTTTCGCAAGAAGCCACACTAACTGCCTTGTCCCCTTGGTTTGCGTAGCATTCAAAGCACTTGGCACAGATAGCTCAGCAGCATGGGCTCCAGTTTTTGGAGGGGAAACCATGACTCCAACAGGCTAAAGGCCTGGACCCCGACCCATAGAACCCAGAGATCGTAGCTCCCAACCTCCCAGCTCTAATCACATACCCCTAAGACCTAGAGCCACTCTCCTGGCAGACGTGAGACAAGACCCAGGAATCCTGGCTTCTAGCCTGACATCCTCCCTCACCCCCTGCACCTCTGCCCCGTGCAGGGCAATCTGAGCCCCTTCTCCCCTGGGCCCACACCTGGTAACTGCGGTAGGGCACCTTAAGGTGGTGCTTGGTGCAGCTGAGCCAGTGCCTGGCCTCCTGCACCTCTCGGAAGCAGCTGACATACTGGGCAGCTGCCAGGGCTGGTGACTGTTGGATCACGGAGTGGCAACATGCAGCATGACATGTAAACTGCAGGCCGGCCGATGCTAACGGGCGGGGGAAGGAATCGGCACTGTCCTAAAATAATTAGTTTTCAATATTATTTTTCTGCGCCCCCTCAGCTGTGCGCCTGAGGCAAGTGCTTCACTCGCCTCACCCTTGTTACGGCCCTGCCAGAGAACAGCAGAGCTAAAGCTGCCCACACATCTTGTTTAGGAATGCTCAGAAAGCACTTTGCAGCATCTGCAAGAGTGGCCATGCATGGCCAGGGTTCCTTTGGCAGGCTAGGTAGCAGCAACCCCATGACTATGCTGTACTAGTGAAAAAAGCTGCCGGGCAGTGGTGGTTTCACAAAAATCTTTGACAAGTGTTTTTTCCCCTAGAAAATGAGGATTTTGTCACTCATTTCAGTGACAACAGGATCAGGCACAGCCTCCAGTACTTTC